TTTAGCCATTCTTACCTAGTACCCGTTTCCTAACACTAGCATTTTTTTACTCGATTGTCCCAGAATACACAAACGATGCTTCGAAGACACCTATGATTGAAAACCAGTAATCTACTAATATATTCTCCACTCATACTGACATTAATGACTAGAACAGAACTATTGAAACAAACAAATAAAACGTGGAAATGCACAAAACTTACGCAATCGCTGTTCTCAATACATCATCCGGTGTATTATTATTACTATTACTACTACTATTATTCGTGATAGTGGTAGTAGCTGAGTTTGCTGTTGCATTCCTACCAATCACATTATTATTATTATTGTTACTATTATTGATTAAGCTTTTAAACCATGCATATTCCACATGATTCACACCAATCGTACGATGCTCGTCATTATTACCGATCGAACCGGATGAGGATTGAGTTGTTTGTTGTTGTTGTTGAAAGCATCTTGCACTTGTCTCAGCACTCAATATAATAATTTCCATGAATTGATTTAAAATAACTGGTAGAAATTGTACTAAACCAGTTGGACTGATTAATAGGAGGGTTTTCATTGCATTACACAAATGTAAATGATGCATAGATGTGTTTGTAGTTGTGGTTGTAGTAGTAGCCGTAGGAGTTGTTGTAGTTGTATGGTTGTTGTTATGGAGAATACTATTGGTGCCATTTGTGAAACTGACACGTTTTGTGCTTGTTGCTGTGGTTGATGATGGCGGCAGCGCCGATGCCGGTGAGAGATCAGCATGATTCGATTGTATGACAACAGCATCATCACGAAATGTTACACGATTTTGCTGTAGAGAGAGAGAGAGAAAAGTATAGAAACACACACGCATACAGAGATAAAAGTCAATCAGAACAAGGCGAAGAAGGGTACTGGGGACGTAAGATCCTAGTTTCGAATTTTATTCATGGGTTGATCAGTGAACCTTGAGAACACATTTCCCATTAGGAAAATCCTTGACTGTGATTGGTTGATGTGTTCTTTTAGTATGCTATTTTTGTGACTCTCCCAAGGATGTTTCTATGATGTATAAATGAACGCGACTTGTGTGCTTGAGATCTGTAGAATACAATTTCTACGCCATATCAAGATTTTTTCTTTAGATTGTTGGGGCAACGGATCAGAGTAGCCTATCGCGTCACTGGTTTATTGTCTCGTTCTCGTTTATCGACTACGGTGAACTCGTAATAGTTTCAAGCATGAAAGAGGGACAAATGCATGGTAATAAGAAATGATTTGATTTTCTACAAAAGTGGAATGTATATACGTTCAGTAGTCAAGTAGATTTTCTGCTTCATACTCTATACTTCTTGCCCTAAGTAGCCGCTGCCAGTTGTTGAGGTTAACATGTATCGCAAACGTACAAAATAAAAGTCTGTAGAAATTTATAATGAGAGCTTCAAAAGAAGTGATTCATGATATAGCAAGCAATTTTTCCCTAATGTGGTGGATGCTACTCGCTAGACAGCATATAAGTAGTATGGAGCACGCAGCATTGTTCAGAAATTGCTAACAGTGAGAGTATAGTGGTCTGGATATCAAGATTTGTATGACATGATCAGAGTATTTTGATGATCAGATGACTGAACGACGGCATTCAATAATTTGCAGGTATTGCAAATAGATGTCTGATGGTACAGCCCTCCTCAGTTGTGTGCATCCACAACCTCATCAAGAACGGAACCAAAGACTTAAAGTCGTCACTCAAAAACATTGATTCTCTATGATTGGCTGAGCATCCAATAGTGTGCATGTTTAGCAAAATTTCGTTTTCTAAGACATACGAATTAGAAGGAGAGACAATAACTCGATTAAATGTTCTGTATTTCGATATGAATAGTGAAATAACATAGGTAGCTACTCAGGAAGATATATATATATATATATATATATATATATATATATATATATATATGATATGCTGGTCATTTGATATGCCTGAAACTATGATGAGTTCACCTTACTCAGTAAACCAGTGCGAAAACAAATGATCTAGTGACTCGATAGGCTACTCTATTTCGAGCGTCCCGATGGCTCACTAAGTGAAGGAAGAAGTCTTGATAAGATGTAGAAAGTGCATTCTACAAGCATCCAGAAAATACGAGGTCAACAAACACACAAATCAAGTTTATTTATACATCATAGAAACGTAAACAACATAGAAACAGAAATCCGTGAGGTAAGGTGAGGTGTGAATATTTTAGAGTCGACCTTTTATAATCCCTTCCTTCATTGTGAGAAGGCAGCGTCGCTGCAGATGCTGGTTGTCTATAGGAAACACCTTAATGTTATCACACCCCTCTACAGTCAACAGTACGACTTCGCCCTTAGACCTCGAGTAGCTTCTTTTAGTCTCATTGTTCTCCAATCAACCTGCCTGGCATGGCAGAACCAAGAGCAACATATGCTCCAGTCAATATAGTTCGACCGGATCATCACGATAGGCAAGGCCGACCACCAATGTCAACGTAGCAGCTACGGTCGAGACATTACACAGTACAGAACACTATACACACAAAAAAATTTAGGAAAACCAGTTACCTTCAATTTATCCGCACTGTTTGTTTTCACAGACGATAAGAATAACATACGTGGTAGGAGATTATTGCAAACATGAAAAAATTTCGACAATATTGCATCATGTGTATAGATTGATGAGAAAGGTTTCATATCAATTTTGAATAAATATTTACCATTATCAATCCAATTAAAATCTATAGGATGATTATTATTATTAGTAGAGTTTGAATGATTCATAGTGAAAAATGGTAGATTAATTATTCCATTAGTGGTGGTGTTCGTTTGATTGGATTGACGAAAATTCTAGAAAGAAATTTAAACAAGACAAAAAGATGAATAGTTCTTATAGAACATTGAACTTTTTTAAAAATGAATATTGAACAAAGTGCTTATTATTGTTAGTGGTGGGCCCCATCACACCCATCAGCTCCATCGCGGCCTCAAACTCCTCTAGGAAGCCCCGCAAATCTCCGTCCTCCAACTCCCTCGGCCACGGGAGCTCCTTCCTTCGTGCAGGCAGCGACACCAAATGTAGTGAAGGAGAACACAGGTGAGGGCAACCGAATTGTATTTAACGAAAATTACAGAGTTACTCAGTAAAATAGGAAAACCATATCGTAAACGGTTAATTTGCAAATCTTCAATCCATCATCAATCCATTGTCTGACATTTCACTCATTCATGCGTTTCATACAAATTCGATTGTGTTCTAACTCTTCCTTTCTTGATCTTCCCCCATCTTCTGCTGCCAGATATTACGTTTACACTCACGTCATATACTACTTATAAGTAGCGCGCACCACAGTAGTAGTATAGGGTTGTGACGATTGTTCAATTTGATTGAAATCATGAACCGATCAATGTTAGAGTACTAGCAGATAATCTGTAAGCATTGAATGGTCGTATCGTTCTAATATGGGAATCATCAGTGGCAGTACCCAGCTATGAATACTCAAGCAGGAATCGAACCTAAAACTTCTGGTCTCATGTGCGAAAGCGTGATCGCCTGACTAATAAGCCATCACCTGATGGCCCTGAGTTTGATTCACGCTTAGAGGGTCCTAGGTGCGTACTATGATTGATGAATCGCATACTAGGTCGAAAAGACCATCCAGAGCTATCAGGTTTCCACTGCTAGTCGTCTAACATTGATTAGTTACTAACGCCATCGTTATTCTGCAAAGATATTTGTTCAAGTGTAGAAAATGAGGAAAAATCACATGAAAACCAATTAGACAATTTCAATAACATATCTAATCAATAATAAAAAATGAAGAAGAAGTGTAACTGTGCTTCGTTCCTACACGAAACTGAATACTTGCAATAGTTATCAGAAGATTAGAGTTTAGGAGAAGACAAACAATTTTTTATCCATGTCAATACTCAGGGTCCCTTACAATCGATTACTATCATTTCGCGGAACACAACAAAGTAGTCTACACTTTCTGCCATGTTTTGGTTTGGTCGCTCCTAGCCTTCTTCCAACCTACTCCTACACCACAAAACATAGCTCGTCGAGGCAGTCAGTGGTTGGGCACATGTAACATTTGTCCCAACCACCTCAACTGGTGAAGTTTCACTACTTCATCAATTGATTTGCCATCCTTACTTGGAATTCGTTTCCTAACGACAGCATTGCTTACTCGGCTGTCCCAAGATACAAGAGAAACGCTTCGAAGATATCTATGATAGAATAGTAATAACCAACGAATATCCTTACTCGGTTGTCTCAGGATGGAACAACATCCATGGCAATATGAGAGTACATTTACGGAAGATGAGAGAACTCTTCCCCACTCTACATTATATCTACGCATTCACAGGGCTTTCAACCAAATCCCTAGATCAATCAGAGTTACACAACAATACCGTTGGATGCCGACCCAGTGATCCAGAGGTTAGGCGTTTGCGCGCAAGACCGAAGGTCCTGGGTTCGAGTCCTGTGTGAGGTGCAGGAGTTGTGGATGCGCACTGCTACTGATGAGTCCCAAACACTAGGAGGGAACGGCTGTCCAGCAGTACTACCGGATTTCTTCTAATGGTGGTTTAACAATGATTGGTTGATTGATGATTTCAAATGTACAAACAATACACTAATCTCCATAATAACTGTAATTGAAAAAACACACATAAATATATTACTTGTATAGTTGAATGTTGTAAATAACCAGGTTGAATTGTTGATGCAATACGAAGTTGAAATGTACCAACATTTAAACTGTAAGACAGAGAAAAGTAGAAGAAAAAATGTAAACAGTTATCAGTGTAGAAATTGATACGGTTTAATCAAAACCGAAAATTCATTGAAATCATGAACTGATCAATATTAGACCACCAATCGAAACCTGGAAGCATTAGATGGCTGTTTCAGCCTAGTGTTGGACTCATCCACCGTGATTCAAGTTAGATGTTCATATTATTGAATGCCGACTCAGTGGTCTACAAGTTAAGTGTTCACGCTCGAGTCTGAAAGTCCTGAGTAGGTTTCCCGTTTACGAGCAGTGCTGATGATTTCTAAATAAGGATAAAACGGTCATCTAGTACTCTTCAAACTCTAATAATGGTCTAGCTAAGTTCAGTTCATGATTTTAACTATGAAACATAAGAAAATCTTTACAAATCCTCCTTCATTGATTCAATTTATCCCTTATTTTTAACAAATTAGCAAGATTACAAGCGACAGCCTAGAACTATGTACGTATGTACACCAATTCAAGTTGCCATAACACATTAGCACAGAGATGCAAACGTCACTTCAAATCCCATAGTAGTAGAGGTAGTAGAAGTAGTAATGATTGAAGATATTATTGAAGAAGTATATCCCAGAGGAATCAATTTAAAAATGGGAAAAAAGGTCATGAGCGATTTATGAGATTAGGATTTGAGAGAGCACAAAGAGTAGATGCACCTACACCATTGCAAATTAGTTTGAGCCATGTCATTCAAGAATTCTAAACGTCGACTGTTATCATCTCGTGGATTTGGGCTAGATTTTGGTTTGTTCATTCCTAGCTTTATCCCTACAACGCTTGCCCAGGCAGTCGGTGGTTGGGACATGTGTAATGCAGGTCCAAACCACCACAACTTATGATGAGCATTCACTAATTCATGTTATTGCGTGCATAACATCAAAATAGATTTCAGCACTTATATCAATAATAAAGGTGAGTTACACATTTGAAATCATCAATCAATCATTGTTAGATCACTCCATTAGAGAAACCTGGGAGCACTGAAAGACGGCCGTTTCGTCCTGGTATGGGACTCATCAGTGGCAGTGCGCATCCACGACTCCTGCATCTCACAGGATTCGAACCCAAGACCTTCGGTATTGTGCGCGAACACCCAACCACTGCTGATGAGCTAGTCCCATAACAGGACGAAACAGCCATCCAGCAGTGCTTCCAGGTTCCTTCTAATAGTGGTCTAACAATGATTGTTTGATTGATTGGTTGTTATACGCATAAATAATGAAAAAAGAAACACCTTACTTTCCATCAGTTCCAAGTATTGGAATCCATGAATAACCGGTACTCGATTCTATTGGTTTCTTATTATTATTACTACTAATATTACTACTAATATTACTGTTATTAGTAGTATTGTTATTATTAGATTTGTCTTTTTGATTTGAAAAATTCATTGAAGCCAAATCACAACTAATATGATAAAATCGAAATAGTAAATGATGTTTTGCGGTTAAATTCAGTGGTAAACATATTTTAATCTGAAAAGAAAAGAGAGGGAAAAAACAAAACGATTACCAGGAGAGAGAGAGAGGGAGAGAGAGTTGCATAATGGTTGTTGCATGTTTCATACTCAGTTAGATGATTATTGATTAGGTAGACAGGATATGGTGGGTTGTAGTGCGTATGTTGAGACCAAACGGCTTGTCCTAGCTATCGGACACATTTGTTAAGCTTTTCTGTCTGAGACATTATTCACTGGCCTTTTGTTGGGGAACGTTAAATTCCCAGAACTCACTTGATAAATGTCCTGTTACGCCTACACGTAAACATGTCAACTTGATATGCTTGAACTATTACGAGTTTACCTTAGTCGGAAAACGAGAGCGAGGATCGATGATCCAGCGACACGACATGCTACTCAAATCCGATTATCCCAACCCTCATATTGAGTAAAAGAAGACAAGACTTGATATGAAGTAGAACCTGTATTCTACAAGCATCCAGAAAGTACGAGGTCCGAGTCCAGAAGAGAATCAGGATCCCAGACTAGGGATCCGGGTCCTGGTCATAGAACGTTACAGATGATGCGTATTTATGCATTTAGGTCGAATGAAAAACAGCATCGAAGTCTGTGACATTGACAGTTAAGATGACCAATAGGAAGCAACATCTGAAGTGACATTGATAGTCAGGACAACCAATAAGAAACAACACTTGAAGCACGTGACATTGATATCTACTAGGACGACCATAAAATTGACCAATAGGAATTGACCAATCATTATTCTCTTAAGGTATTGGATGAATATCTTAACAGTCCTAATTTTGGATCTTATTCATGAACCGATCAGTTGACCTTGAGATCACATTTTCCACCAGGAAAATCCTTAGCTGTGATTGGATACTGTGTTATTTTACTGTGCTATTTTTGTGACTCCCAAGGACGTTTCTACCATGTATAAAGTTGTGCTTGAGATCACTGTATTTACTGAATGCTTGTCATAAACACTTTCTACACCATATCAACATTGTTCTCTTTAGTTAGTTGGGGTAACGAAACAGAGTAGCCTATCATGTCACTGGTTCATTGTCTTGTTCTTGTTTATCGACAAAGGTGAACTCGTAATAGTTTCAAGAATCTCAAGTGACGAACATAACACCTTTTGACTTTGTCAACAGTTCACTCATAACCTTGGTTGCTTTTACTTGAGTGTGTGTGTGTGTATGCATTGCTTACTCCGTTTATTGCATGTCTGACTTATTTTTGTTCAACTATTATGAATATGCTTAGTTATGCCTCATTACATCGAGCTGGCTCACCATCCTTCCCCACTTCACTTCGCTTTGCTTTCAAGCAATGTATTTTCCTGTCTACCTGCATGAACGATTGTCTGAAATTAACTCATTCAACCAAATCCGTATTTGGCTTCTCATTACATCAGTCGCACAAGCCGTGTTCGCCTAAGCATATGATATACGGATATTGAAAAGGCCAATAAAGTAGTGAACCCTACCTCGAGTTCAACACAGCCATAAAATGATGAGCCTAACGATGAACATAAATTTTTTTTCATTTGTATAATTGTTTAACATCGATTACTTCAGCATCTCACTGAAATTAAAAAAATCTTCACAATCCTATACTGATAATTATTATGTGCTCACTAATGATTGGCTAACTGCATGGCATGAAGGAATTCTCAGAGTTCTAGTGAAAAGCTATGACCAAAGTGGAGTTTAATCGTATGGAGTGTGAGGCAGATACGTTCCGAAGAAAATAGATAATAGTCGTGAAATATATCTTGGATGGATCGAAGTTAGTCATTAACACTGAATAACACCGAATAAATGATCTAGAAGTTAAGTTGAGCATTTGCGCGTGAGTCCGATGCTCATAGGTTGTGAGCGATGGCCGTTAATGCCCAGTTCTGATGAGTCTCATACTAGGGACGAAATCATCATACAGTGTTTTCACGTTTCTAACATTGATTGACCTATGATTCTGATCATACTTAACAGTTTTCAAAACGACGAGAAGCACGATTGGTTAAATGGCAGTGTTCATTATGATAACCCACTGTACCAATGAACATTTTACTGAACATTTTGTTTATTCCTACTTTTGTATCACTTTACTTTACTCGCACGCTGACCGTCTTGCATTTGCTATTCTCTACCTTTGCACAGTTATCTGACACCTTCCGGTATTCTTTCGATATTACGGAATTGCCAGGAAATACACTTATCTCATCATCTGGACTATCCCGTCTTCTCTCTTACAATGGAAGATTAGGGGGCAAAGCTCGGGACTCGAACTTGATTGGTTTGTAGACGTATTCATAGTTTTTCAACTTGAACATATCTACAAACTGAATTTATCATAAACTAGTGTAAATATCAATTGATACCAGAGCCTCACCCTCTAACATATAGACACAAACACAACACAACACAACACAGCACAACAATAAAAAAAACATACTTGTTCATTGAAATTCGGATTAGTTTCATGATAAATAACCGCTGTATTATACCATGAATCAAATATTGGTTGATGATTACTTGGACGAGTATAAAACACCTAAAGGCACACACAGAGACACAGACACAGACACATACAGAGAAGAGAAGAGAAAAGAAACACACAATGAAATTATATAAACAATGAAATAAGCTTAACAATATACACAACTGTAAATTATAACAAATTCATGCCTGAAGCCTCTCTTAGGCTACTACCGGATAAGGTATACACAGGGTTAGAGGCCAAATCCTTTAGAAACGAAACAACTCGTCGAAAATACCGCTTACCAGTAAGAATGAAAGATAAGCGAATTTAAACTGACAACATACATTTATTCGATTACAATTATGGCTGATGCTGTATTATTCAAGTAGACTGTGTCTTTTCGTATTGAAGGTTTATTGAACATTGAATAACAGTCAGTCAGTCAGTTGCAACGTAAGAACTTCGTACGTATGTACATAAGTTCATGTTGCCATACCACATTATTAGCACAGCGATGCGAATATCAAATCAAATCCCATAGTGGTAAAGATAGTAGAGGTATTAATGGTAATCAAGAAGACTATGGTTTGAAGATATTATTCAAGAAGTATAATTCAGTGAGATAAGGTTAGAAACACACGAAGGTAGGGGTACTGACCAAACCGGAAGATTAAGATTTCAGAGAGCACAAAGAGTGGATGCACATGAGCCATTCCAAACAATTTTGAGCCATGTCATCCAAGGTCTCTAACCATCTCTTACTATCACCTCACGGACCAGGTAGTCTACATCAACATGGCGCAGTTTACTTGTCGGTGACTTCATGGATTCCTGCCATGTTTTGGTTTGGCCGCTCTTAACTTTCTCCCAACCTACCCCTATACCACAAAACATTGCTCGTTGAGGCAGTCGGTGGTTGGGCATACATAACACATGTTTCAACCACTTCAACTGATGAAGTTTCACCACTTCGTCGATTGATCTGCCATTCTTACCTAGCACCTGATTCCTAATAACAGC